TATAGTAGTTAAAGGAAAAGCGACTATAACAATTATTATCGGGAAGATTTTCCGACAAACAGCGTATTAATTCAAATGGCGTGGCTTAGAAAAACGAATGTGAGGAAACAACTTTGATTTGAGATTGTTTGTGTCATCTAGTTGAAACTTCAAAGACTGATAGAGAAGCCTTTGAGGTAAAAAAAGGTTTTTCCGAGTTGAAGATCTATTGTTTAAGTGATATATTTTTTTGTCGCTATTTTAACATACACTATCAGTGTTGAGCAAGGCAGCTTACTGTTGTTTGTTTAGTTGTAAGATCTTTTACATTTAGTTTTCTTTGGAATCCGAGCAGTCTAAAAAAAAGTGCTTTTTTTGAGGACTTTTCGCATATATAAACATTCCATAATTGAAGTCTCAAGTTATTTTGAGAGGTAAATTGGTTTCCCGGCATCTGTCATGTAATTTCGTTTTAAGTGCCTTGCAATCCACGATCTGTCAACAGCTTACAAATCATTTTATGTGGAATCGATTGATTCAACAGCAAGGCAGTCTGTTTGTAACATCAACAGCAAAGAGTAACTCTGCACTATCCCCTTTTTTTAATTTTTGTACCATTAAGCATGATTGAAAGGTATTTACCGTCTCAAGCGAGGTCAGAAAAATTCACCCTCAGAGGGTCTTGCTGAATGATAACAAAAGCGTAAAGGTCATATCTTAAATCTACCAGTGTGAACTCTCGAATTATCTGTATTACACAGACACGTCATTAAGTGACTTAGAGTTTAACTTATTCGAGGTGACTCGTGCATATTTTGAAAAGGGATTGTTTTGAACACTGAGCTTGAGGCTATATATATTTTATTTCTCCTCCATTTTCTCTTTTGCACATAAATACTGATATGTCGACCTTCAGAGAGAGGGCATTAGTCAGCATGGAAAGGTTGATGTTGAGTTCTTTAACCTGATATTTCGATAGTTTTTAATCAGCAAGATACAGGCATAACTCTCATTACTTGCACAATGTTAGACAACCACATGATGTAAACAAACTACACTGCTTTAATAATCGGCAATTATACCGAGCACGGAAGAGGTTTCTCGACACAAAGTGGAAATGACATTAGCACTTCACTTCTAGAGGGAAAAATGTGTTTTGACGCGTGCCTCAATTTGACAACCTGTCGGTGAAATGTATCCAGAGAAAATTGGTTCAAAGGAAACTGATACAATTTGCTAACATTGACCATGGGTGAAGATTGCCAGTGGCTCTCACCTCATTTTAGCATCCTGGTATCAATATCTGCCTCGCATGTCTTGTTTTTGAGAACTTGGATGGAAATCGAGGACTTAAAGCAAGAGCTGGTAGTAGACATTGCCACGATAAATCGATTTCATTTACTCAATGTTCGCTCTTAGAGGGACACCAGGTTGACAATGGATGAATTGATTAATTTTTCGTCTTTTTATCAGTTTAAGTATGAGATCACCTTCATGGTTTGCGTCTTTTTTATCACATCGTGTAGGGAACATTTTTGGCAACCCCACAAGGAAACTTTAATATCATATCTAGCGTGGAACAGGAACATAACAGGGTTCTTTTTACATGGTAAAGTTTGATAAGATTAGCTTTTAAGGACGTTAATTTAAAAGACGGCTATTGTGTCTTAACGTACGATAGCAATTTCAGTTAAAGCAATTACTGTTCCCTGAGCCCCTTAGCGGATTTACGAGGTACGAGAGCTGAGAGACTTGAGTGTTCTGGTCATTTTAGTATATTTGGAACATACTCACACCCGGATATTACGTTTGTCTTGAGTATTTTAAACACTTTGTAATTCTTACTGGCACTGCCTAATCTTTAGTGACAATCTTTAAATATTGCTGCTATTCTCGGCCCCCCTTAAGCGGTCAAAATTGTAAACAATTTGTGTCATTCACTGTAAAGTAAAAGTTGATAGGTTTCAATTCAACTCTTGGACAATATAGTGAAATAAAAAATTTCCTCGGGGAGGGGGGGTGGGGAGGGGGTCCAGTAGACCACTGTTGTTCATCCTTTTTTTAAAAAAGCCGGTTTAAGGCTTCATGTCTTCAAACGAGTGCCCGCCTCGAGGCCGCTCAACTGCATTAGTAATGTTTGTTTTTCCGATACAGTTCTCCTTCGTCTATGGTTTTTAAACGACAAAACTTGGTGGAAAATACTGGAGAGTAGAAAGTTACAATTTTCACTACGCAATACCCTTCTTCCCTTTGCTTAGTATGCTAATAAAAGCAGCTTGTCAAACCGATATGACAAGCAAACGAGGTTCTCGGTTGCGGAACTGCAAAATCAAAAGTGACATTATTGATTTGTGGTTTTCCCATTTCCATATTACAGGGGAGGTAAACGAATATTAAAATGGTGTGTTTTACAGAACGGTGCAATTAAAATATCATCAACTTGTTTATAGATTTTGCCGCACATAAAAAAGAGTAGGTGTAGAAGAAAAAAGATGTTAGCACACTTCTACTTTAAGGATCGATATTTGCCACTAGACTAGAATTACTACTCAGTAAGTGTACTAAGTGAGTGCGGAGTTTTTTCGCCTGATTTTATATTATTGATGTCCGTATTAATTCGAGCAAAGAACTTAATCCTGTTAAGTGGTCGATTGTTCTGCCATAAATATCTAATCCAAGAACGGATAGTTCGCAGGCAATTTAATCGAAAAAATTAACTCAATTTTGCACACCGTCGGCCCATTCAAAAGAACAAAAGCACGGTGAGTTGTTTCCAATAGCTTTTAATCAAATACACGAATGTTTTTCAACAAACCGCTTTCTTTAAGCGCGATAGGGTAAATATGACTTTGTGGTTAATCTACGCGCACACGCTTAAAAGAGTTGTGTGTGTAAGTGTCTCCAAAGAAAGAAAATTTTGTTCGTTTAAAATATTCGAAGGAACTAAGGTGAGTCTTTTAGTACATAAGTACATTCGTCTCAGGTCTACTTTGCATCACAAAACGACTTATGTAAGACCTTTGAAATATCCGTTTATTTACAATAGATAACAATACCACGATGATTTTAAGAATTCAGTTACATTCTAGTAAGGTCAACTGTTTGCGAGAAACAGCTTCCGTTTATTCGAACATATTTCCCCCAGAATTTACTACAAATAACGTTTGGGGAATGGTAAGTATGATTCTGTGATGATTATTTTACGTAAATGCAGAGAGAGAAGCTCGACTTGGAATTTGGCGTGAGGGAAACCAAGGTTTTATTCCGTGACTTTGACAGCGAACTCGAACAGCGAACGGCAAAAGGAGCCTTCAATTCTGCATAATCTGCTTGAGCCCTGAAGTGCAAATATTTGTATTTGCTCTGAGTAGGAGATTTTGTCTAAATTTCCGTCGAATTGATTCTGCCAGATTTAGGTAAAAGAAAAATAGATAAAAAGTTAATTTGTTTTCTTTCCATTGGTGGGACTCTCGCTCACGGCAAGGTTGCCGGTCAGAGAGCTCCTATTGAAATATGTGTCTGGGGACCTTTCTTCTCCTATCAGCTTTTATTTTTCCATATTGAGATATTTATCGTATTCAAAAATTATGAGAGGGTAGACTCTTTTTGAGATGATCCAAACTATTAAAAGTAAGTCCATGATAAGATAATTGTACACAATTTATTTCATCGAGAGAACATTATGATTTTTCCTTCAAGAAGGTTTTTAGTCACATCCAGTCTTCACATCCTCGTAAATACACTGTAAGACTATAAATAGAAACTATAAATGAATCCGATAAATAATAGAGAGTTTATAATTTTGTCCAATTATACCGAAATACATTATTAAACAGTAATGTCCACTTTCTATTTTTGCCATCATTTAGATACCCATTTTGATATGTTACTACGTTTCAACGTACAATAATTTTTAGCGATAAAATGATATTATTTTTTGAATGAAATAATTAAGGCAATAAGATGCGTCATTTATTTATACAACCATTTCTACATCAATGTCTCGTTGTAATATGCGGTAATTCACATTACATTCCGTCGTCTTCGATAAGATTCTTGATTCATGATTTCGTTCATACCTTAGGCAGTTCTTTATGAAATTTTTATATGTGAAACTATGCCAGACCAGACCGAACTGTTTCATGAATTTCTATTTCCATTCTTGAATAAATATACCAAGGCCTCATAAGTTTTTTTTTTCTCAGTGGAGCGTTGTTTCTTATTGGTATTCCAAGTCATTCACTGTTGGTGAACTATGACAAACTTCTACACAATAAATCTCTTCCGTATCATAGGTGGAACAGTAGGCTGATACATATTAAAACTGAATTAATCATTAAAGGGGCTCGATCAAAGTTAAATCAACTCGATCCTCCTTTAGTTTTGCCAATGTCAATGTGACGCAGTAGTGCCGTTCTCTTTTCCAACCTGTAAAAAATAGGATGATTAAAATTATCATCCCTTGATTGCAGAAATAAATTGGGTTCAGTCAGCGAGCTTTAAAATTAACTGACGCTACTATACAAATTCGGGAATTCAAACTCAATCCAAGATGCGTGGCCAAGAACTTTCGTAGCAGGGTCTTGTTCATTTTGACATATTTCTTTGCAGTAAGGGTATATATAATGAAAATTGTGGTTTTATTGTGTCTTATGAAATCGAATGTGTGCGTCAACTTCTTAAAAGTTCAACCGTTTAGGAGTTTTAAGACTATCGAAATCGACATCGCGCAGAATGCACGATGTCGAGAGAGAGAGAGAGCAATGATACCAGCGAAAATCAAAATGAGAATTTTAACTCCTGATTGATTTTCATTAGTTCTGTGAATATTGACCTCTTATTAACTGCAAAAATAAGTGTCCGGATGGTACATCTTGTAGCGCTGTACAATCAACTTTGAAAGTGAGGCTACGGATAGCATTCGCTCGTACCATTATCCTCAGTTTAACAAAAATTTATGTATAGATTTAATTTTATGCTGATTAAATTTAAAACAAGAATGATTTCAAAAAAGGTCCGGCTTAAAGCTTATCCATGTACTCATAATGGAGATTAGTTTCAGGTGGATTTCCATCCGGGCGGCCCAGATTAATTTCCGATATTTTGTTCAAATCGAACATGGCAACTGCCTTTGTTCGTTTTACTCGAGTTCTCATCTTCAAAGAGCAAAATAAGGCCTTCAATCCACTTCGATAATTTGTGCTAAAACCAAAGATGACGTACGGGTTGATGGCGTTATTCGCGTGAGCGAAGATGACGATGAACCTAACCATGGTTCTTGCAACACATGACGGGTTAAGATCCCAGTAGAAGAGAATCAGGTAGATGGAAATATTGAATGGAAGCCAGGACAAAGCGAAAACAACAACAACAGCAATGACAGTTCTGAGAACATTCCTAGTGCGCCTGTTCCAAGAGTTCTTCTGGATGCTTGACTGATTAATTACCTGCACTTTTCGCTGTCGTAATTTAGAAATGACGAGAGAATATAGAATAATCATCGTTACCATAGGGAGAATGAATAAGAAAAAAGACAACACAAGGAAATATTCCTTGCTAGCATTATCCTGTTCATAAAACGGTCCCCAGCTGTAGATACAAAACGTCTTATTTTCTTGAGAGGATAGGCGCCAGGCATATATGTAAGGTGCGTGGAATCCAAACCCCACAACCCAAGTAAGGACAATGAAGATCTTCCTTATCGAAGGCGTGACAGTGTTGGTTCTCAAAGGGAACATGATCGATCGAAATCTATCAAAAGCTATTACGACTAAACTTTCAATGGAAACAGCAGTGGACACGTCTTGGACGATGTGTGTCATCCTGCAAAGTACTTCTCCAAGGAATCCATTGATATGCCATTCAAACGGGGTGGAGAGTGTCTCTGTTATCCTGCGAGGTACGACTGTTATGGCAAACAGAATGTCAGAGCACGCCATGTTGAGAATAAAGAAGTCTACTGTAGTGCGCAAGTTCTTCTCCCTGTAACAAACTATCGCGATGAGAGAGTTTCCAACGAAACTGAAAACGAGTATAGCAGCATATGCCAAACTTTGGCCGAGCTTAGCCTCGTTATCCAAATGAAAAGAGTCCGAGTCGCATTTCTCGTTAGATGAATTAAGAGGGGACGAAATATTTTGATCGATATCCATCTTGGTTCGTTACAAACACCGTGCACGAACGTCTTACTTCACAAAACACGTTGCTGATCGACAATTTCCCGGGTGGTCGAATCCTGCTGAATTTATATTGAGCGGTGAAAATGTTTGATCAAATAGCAATTAGTTTTTCTACTAATCGCCGAACACTTTTTTTATCTGGTTGCCTTGATTATTTCAGTTTGGAAGGAAATTGGAGAAATCTTGCTCACGGATAGGGGAAAACTTCTGCCACTTTTTGCCACTGCTACAATAGATCTTAATATTAACAGGTTGAAAGCAACACTTTTTTAAATGTGAATTTCATTTTAAAAGAAGATCAATATCTATAAGCAAACAATAGTGCCTTACAAATTTAAATGAGAAAATATGGGTAAATACAGATGACAGATAAGTGTGACTCAATAAACATAATTTATTTTCTGCAATTTAAAGTTCTTTTTATTTCTATAATTCAAGAAATCACCAGATGCAATGCATTATGTCTTCCATGAATCAGAACAAAGTCCAAAATGCGTTTTAACTTTATTTCATTCATCCCAGTTACAAATGAAAAAGTCTTGATTATGATTTATAACGGTATGAAACGCATCATTAGATGGGTGGGAAGTCATTTGATTCTACTCACTTTAAAACGAAAAAAAAAAAAAGGATGTGATAGGATCTCTAACTCGAGGATTACCATAACTCGAGTATTATATGAAGGTTCAATCAATGAAAGTGAAACAAAATGTTTTACTCGTACTCAGAATTTAGGAAAAGTGTTCCTTTTTATGGGTCGAGTTGAGTTGTCGATCAAAGTCAACTAACAAACTCACATGAAAAGGTAATGTTTCGACAGTGTTATTTCAAAAGTAGCTGAGCAAGTCACGAATCGAAGACGCTATAAGAGCATACTAACCAAAAATCATAGAACAAACGAGTGCTACTTGTAACAAGACTCATTTCGCGTTTTTTACATTATCTGAATTACAAAGGGCTGTGAACACTGACCAACTAAATCATACAACAAAAGACAACTACTCGTAACAGTAATAATTTCATAATTTTACATTACTCGGATACAGAAAGGATGAAAACAGTGCTACGAATCAGATGTCAACAGGATACCAACAAAGTCAAACAAGAAAAGTAATGACAGTCTCTAGGAAATTACCTAACCACCCCAATACGAATCTGACCTTATTTTGCGACGAAAAAGAAATTCTACTCAAAATTTTAAGAGACCATATCTTGGGAAAATTCGATGTTTCTTTCTTTTATCATTTCTTATTATTTCCAGGGTTATCGAAAAAAATATTGAAGGCTTTGAATAATGATACAAATATTGCGGCTGCTTTTATAGTTTATTTGAAACCTTATTTTTTATTTTTTACTCCTCTCACTTTAAGGAAAGGAATTGGGGCGAATGGTGTTGACGTGAAACAATGATAAGTGCCAAGTTATTTTAGTTAAAGAGTTAATTTTTCATAGTTTTCATTCTGAAATGCACGGGAACGGTATTGGTTTTCGAGTGATTTTCCAAAGAAATTCACCCATTAGCCAATACTGATTTGCCATTTTGTGCACCACTACCCGTACTGCTGAAATGTTATGGAGTCCAAGCAGATTGGGCAGTTTATTTCGAAACTAATTCACTTTTCATAAAATACAAAGACCTTTCCATCGTTCGTTTAACAAAAAATGGTAAGGAAAATTCGTTCTTGATTTTTCTATTCCGTCACGTATTTACCTGCCGTTATTTTGTTTTTATTTGCTCATCTATACTTACAAGATTATCAATTCTAGATCTGCGTTGCTTTATGCCAATAAGTCAGTGTTGGAGTTATCCTTAGAATTCAAATGCTTTTCGATATCCCAAGAGACGATTTGAGTAATGAATCCGAAGGTAACGAAGTAAAAGCGATATTTTGGGCCCCAGGTGCTTTCTCGCATGAGATTCTCTTATCTCTTATCTGTGTTTACCTAGTTTTGGTGTGCTTAAGATAAGAAAAAAAATTGATCCCAAAAACGTGTAATTTAAAATCTTCACTTTACTGATATGCAATTAAACCTCTATAAAAAATTTTTTAACGCCTTTGTACGAAAAGTGAAAATGACAGCAAAAAGAGTAACGAGGCTTGCATCCAAACGCAATTATTTATTTTGACCAACAATCAACATAGGATCGGTACGCAAAAAACATTGTCTTTGTTCGATGACATAAAAGTAATTATTTTTATCATTAAAAAGCATCAGCATTCTTAGAAAATTCAAAAGTGGATGTGGACGTAAGGTAAACTTACGTATTCGGACTTCTTGTTAAATGGCGCTTTTCTTACAACGACCGTACACTATTAGGAGCTTTTGAGCCATCTTTGATCTTGTTTCCCTTCACTCTGACGGAGGGCTGACGTTCAAAAGGTAAGCTTTAAAAAAAGTATTTTCGATGTCCATTGTTATATTGTTGTTTCTTCAGCGACGCAATACCACAGTTTCTATGGAAACTTTCTCCTTTACTATTTTGTTTCCTTCGTTTTTCTTTGTTTTGGTTTTTGTTGTTAAAACGTGACGATTTTAATTTCTCATAGTCCAAGATCAAGGAGAAATGGCTATCAAGAGATAGATGTAACGTTTCTATTACATAAAACAAAACCTTTGTTTCCAAAAATTATTCAAAATCGTAAAAATGGAACAGCTATGCGCTTTTAAATCTCCATGTTGACCCTTATTTGTAGTCGCTTAACACATTTTATTGAAATTTATCGATAACTGCACTGTTTGGACAGGAAAATATGTCAATAAACACAATAGTGAGACGCTACAAGTTAAAGCTTTGATGTGTCTGCCCTCCCTTTGAATGAGGTATCGATAGCATTCTCTATCTAACTTTTCAAAACGCCAATTTTCACTTGAATAGAACTTTTCCTCAAGCAAACGACGGTTTGTGAACGTCAAGAAGAGTGACGAATTCTTGCAAAGTTTCTACAAGTAAGACTTATCATCAATAACCATCGCACTCGCGAAAGACATTTTTAATTTGACGATTGTAATAAGCTGTCCTCGAACAACTTCCAACGTTGTAGCATCAGTATTGACTAAAAGCGATATGGTACTGACGGACAGTCAGGGAAGATATGAAATACGGAAGTAATGCTCTCAAGGCATCTCTGTGACCTTAAATGCTGTAGAATTGCTTTTTCGAAATAGCCGGTCATTTTCAGTGTTTCGTTTATTTTACTAATGCAACAATAGTTCCTTTATTGCTGTGAAATTAATTGTTTAAATCAATTACATAGCGAAAGTTCCGGATAGGAGGAAACAGTTTTTGGCAGAAAGGAAGATCAATCGTTCACATTTGAGATAACATTGAATTACTGTAAAAGAAAAACCTCTTAGCATTCCTCGAAATTTTGTGAGCGCATCAATTAGGTCACAAAGCGTCATTCAGTCTTTTCAAGTTTGTTTATTGCTCAAAGTTTCCGAATTTTCTATTTGAGTTACTCAGCATAGATGTCAAGTTTTGATCCTCTGAGTTATGCACAGTTTAACAAATTATTGTTCAACACGTTTATTTGATGTTAATTTCACCAGTTCCTTTATTGGCTCCCAAGTGAACGAAACCAAACTTTCGCCAGTCTTGAAAAAAAAAACCAATTCACTCTGGTTACGGGGATCGCACAGCGAATGTATGGCTTTTCACGTCGTTAGTACATTTGTGTCGGCTGATTGCGTCGGATGATGAATAACTACAGATTGCGAATTTTAATTACTTTCAGTGAGCTAATGAAAAGTGCTATTTTTATCTTTGGCAGAAAACCCAAGCATTTAAGAGGAATCGCTGTTAGTAATATTAGCAGCTTTGGGATTGGTGAGGCTTCTGTTCCTCTCTGTCAAGAACTTCTGATATTCCTCTTCGAGAATCTCCAGAATAAGAGGCTATTTGTAACCAAAGATGTCTGCCAATGACACCACGAGTAACGTGTCGAATGCTTGTGGTTTACCTGAACACTCGTCAACTGACATAATATGGAAAACATTTGCCTATTGTTTCATTGCATTCGGTTCTCTGTGCGGAAACTCCGTTGTTATTTTTGTCATTTTCAAGAACCGCAACATGCGATCGACCATAAATTACTTCATAGTAAACATGTCAGCATCTGATATCCTTTTCGCCATTTTTGTGATTCCTCGCCTCATATTACAGCTAGATATGCCTGACAGATGGCTCATCGGCGGGATGGTGGGCTCAATGCTCTGCAAGATCGACCACTTCATTCAAGATGTGTCGACAGCCGTATCCATTCTCAGCTTGGTAGCCATCGCTGTTGACCGATTTTATGGCGTGGTGTTCCCAATGAAAGCCGGTCTCATGAGTGGAAAACGAGTTCGAAGGCTTTCCTTAGCAGCAACTTGGTGTTTGGGAGCATTGCTCCACCTACCCTACTTTTACGCTTACAAACTCGTCGACGATAAGTTTTGCAGCTACAATTGGTATCCATTAGCTGATCATGCTAAAGCGTCTAAGTTCTACTTCATATTTCTATCAACCATATTATTCTTCTTTCCTGCGGCCATTTTGATAATTGTATACAGTATAATTATCAACACACTACGACGGCAAAAGTTCCCAGGCAACCAGTCTCTCAAAGACAAGAAAAGGGTCGCTAGACGCAACCGCAGCGTTTTAAAGATGGTTGTGGTAGTTGTAGTCGTCTTCATCTGTTGCTGGCTGCCTGTCAACGTATCAATTTACATCCTTATCTTTCACTGGGGTCCCAACAATGCTCCTTGCTATGGACGCTTATTATTTTTTTGGGTTATTTTCATCGCTTATTCAAATGGCTGCATAAGTCCCTTCCTGTATTTTATTTTCAATCAAAATTTTCGTCAAGGCTTGAAAAAAGCCTTTCTAGGGCAAAATAATCGTGATTCTGTTCGAAGAAATCAGCGTTCCTCTCACCGTAAAACGGATGATATAAGCCTAACAGCTTCGCAAAGGCAGAAGAAATATTAAACCCTTCTTTCAGCAACTAAACTTAAATCATAAGCACGTTATGGAGCATTTTTCCAGTAACAGAATGCCAACATAGATCATAATAGAAAGGTAAAAATGACGAAAAGAAGGCAATTACCTTTATCCATGGTTTATAAATATGCTTTGCCCCCAGTTAAGGCTTTAGCGGCTTTTAAAAAGAAAATAGGATCTTTTTCTTTCGAAAAAAGTAGTTGATAAGTGTATAGTAAATTTACTGAATTCAGATGATGAGTATATGCAGAGGGAGGTTTTTCAACCTAAAAGATCGAAATATTGAGTTTTCTGTGACAGAATGTGATCATGAAAGCATCATTTCTTTTCTGTGCTATTGGCTTTAAAAAGTAAAGATGCAAAATCCCAATAAAAAAAAGTATAATTTTTCAGCGAAGTTTGGGTGTACTCTCACCTTAACTGCTGGAATTTGCGCGATAACTCTTATTTTCCATACAGCTTTGTTCACGTGATGTCTGCTCTTCGTGATGAAAATAATCGATATTTACACAGTTTAATAAAGCTCCCGGGAATCCAATATCGCGTTACACCACGATAGATAGAATTTTTTAAATGTTGAATTTCTTTTTAATCATTGGTTAAAGTCGTTCCATAGCAAATTTGAGGTTAATCATTTTGCATTGTTTTAGATATTTCAGACGTGAAGCTGTATTATTATGGGGTTTAGTAACAAGCAAATAAATTTTTATCCCAAGCTGCTGAATCTGTTATCGATTTTTATGGTGGGTGCTAGTCCAACCTCTTCTTTTATTAAAATATAGTCACTATCTCCACGTAAAGATTCAATTCCAAGTTGCCTTTTATCAACAGTTTCCGCAGCCGGCACAATCCCGGTAGGTTCGAACGTGTTGAATATACGAATCATGAATAATAAAGGAGGTTTTGAATAAAAGAGGCGTCATTACTAACAAATGTCTCCCCTAACTTTTACTTGAACAGGAATAAAACACCCCAGATAAATGCTTCTTTGGCCATCTGATTAAAGCAATTTGCGAGTTCTCATAACGCAACAACCTCCGTTTGGTCGCATTTTCTCCTCGAAAACCCGCAATTTCCCGTAACAGCAATTTTACTGACGGGTTTCGATCGTTCTTTGAATTGACCCTGCAGCGCTTGCGATGCGCTTATCGTGTCTTCCAATCTCTTTAAGACTTTTTCTTTAGATCAAATAACAGCACTCGTTTGGTCGAATTTTCAAACCGAAAAACCGAAAAACCGAAAAACCGAGAGACTACTGTAAATATTCTGGCGAAAAATCGACCTTCAAAACACTTTGTTTTTAGGAAATATGATGCTTTTATTGCACTGGATCCAGCTGGTCTAAACGTCATTTTTGATGAACGATAATTACATCATAAAGGCAGGATATAAAGAATTGTTATGTAATTAACGATTCGTGATGTGAGCCTACTACAGCTGTATTACCTAGCAAAAGAATCTTGTAGCTTACTGTGGAGTGAAAACTTTAACTTGAAAAATGGAAGATTTTAATTTACTTATTAGCAGTCCAAATAGGTCCTTAGCTTTTACAACGCTGACTACTGGGGAAAATTTATATGTGGACACAGAAATGTACTTAGAAGAGATATTAGGCTTTGATTAACAAAAGAAACGAATGAATGACTGATATTCTGCTTTCACGGGATGGATATGTCTCGGCTGAATTTGGTATGCAACACTCGTATATTGGTTTACGCGAGGTATAATATTTATATATGTGGGAATGCCACAAGTTGACATTCAAATTTGTCTGTCTTCTGCCGAAAGGAAAGTTTTCAGGAAGTAACTATTTATCGTTGTTTTCAAGGTTTTGTTTGTGCTAAGCGAAGAGTGCTGACTGATTGGAAAACATCTCTCTTTTGAAAAACAGGAAAAATTTATTTTTTTCGAGAACACAAGTAGTAGACGTACGCTTAGGAGTAAAAATTTGAATAATTGTTATCCATGAAAGGGAAGTGAGGAGGAGGGAGAGGGAGAGGGAGAGAAAGAAAGAGAGAACTGCAAATGTGCGAACGTAACGCAGGTCATTCACTATTCTTCAGGAATGAATTTTTTTTTCCTAATTCATGGAACAACTGTTTTTTTTCTTCTAACATACGGTTGTTAAAATAATACTATTCTATTTGGGAACACACTCGTGAACTAATGGCTAGCCGCTATGTTTATTCTTGATGGACAGGATGGTGAACGTGTGGGCAGAACACGCTAACTTGCGTCACTCGTGCTAAAAATATTTTAGGACCAGACTATTTCGGGAGCACCACGTAACCTCTTATTCTTCTTAGATAGGATGTGTTGATCAATCTAAACGAGGACTTATTTTAGCACAGTGAACAGTCATTCAAGAGAAGATATCTTATCTCGCATTATGCTCCGGAAAAGTGCCTCCTTAAAATTCAACTAATTCCATTCCGAACATCATGACAGCAATGTTTTAGCTTTAATTGACACATCATTCCCTACGAATTAAGTATTAATACAGGAATTAACATTTTTTTTTCGAAAAAACAAACAGTTCTTTTCATTGATGCTGATTATTTCTACTTAAACGTCCAGGTTGGCCACAGCCCATGCGCAGAGCAGTATCACAAATTCGGCGTTTAGTTTTGGCAAAGACATCCTCTGGAAAGCCCTATATGAAAAAAATAGGAATAAAAAAGGTAGAAGATTGGAAAATAAAACCAATATTCGACGAGAAAACAGTTCCAGAAAGGCTTTTTAATTTGGGGGAACAAAGCACCGAAATTGCACTCTTACTCGACTGAAGAATTTATTAAAAGATGAGTGATCACGGAAGGCGGAAAATATCGACCATTAAAACAAAAGTAGTAACGGATGCTTCTATTGGTAAATCTTGAAAATTTTGCTCTGTTCCCCAACAAGAATACTGGAGGGAAAAAAAATTTACGTAACCTAAAAATTGCACTTTTATCAGTCTTTAGTTTAAATATCCTAGAACAACAGCCATTGACAATGAGAGACAGATCGCCTAAAACGTGGATAGTATTATAGGTATGTACCTTATCGTCCTCCATTAGCCCTGTTTCCCAGCACAGTCTAGAATTGCCTTTACACGCCTGACCTGGTCCATTGGCGATGGCCTCAGATCTTTTTGGGAGAATTTCCAGGATAAGAAGAAGAAATAGAATCGACAGAATCAATTTGGCTGTCATTACTACAGCTGGAGACCCAACAGCTCAAAATTAATAGCTCAAACTGTTCGAGCATCCCATTGCTCCTGCTTTTATATAGGTGGCAGCCGCAACCATTGGTCGAACTAAAGGTACGTAATAATATTTTAAAAAAAATATTATGAGAGGGTTGTCCAGCTGGCACATAACCAATAAAAGAACCACGTCTCCAAACACGCTAACCTATTATCAAAAGCAATAGTTTCCGGAGACAATAATTACATTCGACACTTAGTCCACAGAACCAAACGAGTAAAAGTTATGCAAAGTCTCCATTGTCTTCGTCTCTTCTATTGAAGCCTTATTATCATCGCTAAATACGTTGCGTGGCCTCCTTTAAATTAGTTCCAATGCAATATATTTTGGCCAATTACTACATAATTGATACAGAGCAGATAAAGCAGTGGAAATTCTGCTGATTCTGTCGGTAGTAATTTAACTTAGCATGCCACCGCTTGATCCGCCAGCAACACGAAAGGAAGGCAGCACAAAATTAATCACTATAAAAAAAAAATTATGGCAAAAGCTTCGATTTAAAAAGAAAGCAACAACCATGGCCTGCTTTTGACGTAAGCAATGAACAATGGCCTTATGTGGTGCATAATTTCGGAGGCAAATGTAACTTAATATGAAGATTATATTTTTACGAGTAAAGCCAGCGTGTAGTCAGCTCACACAACTGCACCTGTTAACCACAAAGTGAGACCTTTAGGATCGACGAGTGCTCTGAAAATTAGTGAACAGGTGAATATGTGTGCTGGCATATTTGTGTATAGCACGTTCTAACTGATATAAATTTGTGCGTGGTAAAGCTCGTACTAAAAAAATTTGCTTTTAAGGGCACAATTTTGTAAATTTGCTCTTCAAAGAACTCTTTCGCGAAACATAAATAATGTGTCATTCAATCAAGCTGCAGACATTTGTCTTCTGTTGCAAAGTAATTACGAAAGTCACGTAGGGTAAAAAAATAATCAGAATTTTTAATGTCACGACTATTACAACTACCACAGTAAGAAAAAGGTAAACTCTAAAGAGTCTAGTACAATTACACACATTTATTATTATTATCGTTATTATTATTATTATTATTATTATTATTGTTTTCTCAAGCTTTTTACACGCAAACTCGCTTATTGAAGTTTCGTTATGAATGTTCACACTGTGGTGTGCTGTTGTCCGAGTCAGTACAGGTATGAAAATAACTATAAAGGGAACAAAACTGCTTACACAGTTGCATTTAGATTTCTTATCACGGTGTTTTGAAACACCTGATTTTGCAACCCTAAGCATTTCGGACATACGTGACTCTCGCACTTTTTCAGTAGGATCCAAATTCGATTTCTCAACTTTGAACATTCAGGAAACAAAAGAAAAAAATGACTTGATTATACATGCTCTAAGGTAATTTGTACAGCTGAAATAAATAAAACTACAACTTTTTTCTTGTACAATCGAAGTTGCCTGGTCAAAAATAGCCAAGGAAATAAATGAGAAGACGTCGAAGAAGAAGAAGAAGCAGAAGCAAGAAATCTCTCATTTTACCTCCGAGGACTGAAAATGATTAAAGTTCCGCTCACAATTTTACCTGTTGCATAAGACAGAGTGTTTTTGCTTTGTTAAATTACCCTAAATCATTAAAATGCAAATGTGCGTGAAATTGTTACATTAGCGAGCCGACCTTAAGTGAAAAATTAGCCTTTACAAATAAAATTCAAGTGTACGTCGACTTGAAACATTATCGAGCCGACTTAAGGGAAACATCCTGTACTTATCGACTGAGTGGGAGGGCCGGATGCGAAAATATGCACGTAGCCAAGATCACGATGCACAGACCAAACACTACACATCCTTCCGTTTCTCTCTTCTTTTTTTCTCATATTTGCCGCGGGGCCTTGTGCAGGGCTGTACAGTTTTTTCGGCTCTGTTTTTGCCATTGCATGTGGCACTCTTTTCAAAAAATAATTATATTTTCATGGAAAGCGAGATCGGGGCCGAAAGGGTCATATGATAAAAAATGTATATTTATTTTTTCAATTCAATGACATCAGATAGCTTACTAAAAATGCACTCTAACCGTTGGTCAGCAAAGCGGATCTTGACTTTTGAGTAGTGAATAGATAATTGGTGGACTTTGTCTGAAGAGCTTATAAATTGTTAAATGACCGTCATTAATAACACAGAAAGGATTAGAGATATCAGGGACAACTGCGGCAATGAGAGCGAAGTATTAACCAGGGAAATTTCAGAAAGTTTTAAAAATAATTGAGATCTCTCGAATGATTGACTCACTGTTGTTGTGTCATGCGCATTAATGACTTTTTTGTGTGTGTAGGAGGCGTACGTGTGTACTCCTCAGTAATTGCACACTTTAATTTAACAGAAGTTTTCTATTGGGGAAGTAATTTAAGCCATGAGGGAAAAGCTAGAGCGCGTAGGATAACGCTCTTCAAATGCTCATATTTAAGGTAGGGATAGAGATCATTAAAGCAAAAGGGAAATTTTCATTTAAATGGAAAAAAAAACTGCCTGGTTTTTTTTTGTCGTTTTTTTTTTTAAACAAAGAGAAAACAAAGAAAAAGACGTCTGCAAGCACAACATGAAAGTTCTGGACATCAACACAGAGAACTGGGAGGATACTAAAACCAACCGCAGCAGCTGACGCTGCTTACTCAGAAAACAGCTGAAGAAAGGAGAGCAGAAGATCCTGGACCTAGCAGAAGAGAGGAGAGCCAGACAAGAGACACGAGCCCTCGGTGAGCTCCCCACCCCCAGCCACATCTACACCTTGTATGGCAGGGAATACCATTCCCGCATCGGACTAACCAGCCACCAACTGGTGCTCTGGATACCCCCAGGGTGCAATATCAATAGTCAACAATGGATTGTAGGAAGCCTACTAATGATAATACTTTTTATCTAACAAAGCAAAAGGTTCATCATACAGCATCTGAATACGAAAACCATGGCAGCGAGGTGCGGAATCCGAAGGTCTGAGTTTCACTCCTCGTTGGGACTCAGAACCAATGGTTGATGCTTACAATTTACAGTGTAGATAACGCGACAAGAGCTTATTTATTACGTGTATACAAAAAGAGAAATTACTTTCACTTAGTCGGGCATTGTGACGTATTTTGCGGGCTAAAATGTATTTTTGCCCGTTCGCTCGCGTGATTGTTTAACCGTATTTTGGTCGTGATTTTCCAAAGTCATAATAATAATAACGTTAATGTTCTTGGGCATAAATAGTTTAGGACCTTCCTCAGAGTCATTTTTACCCCCTTCCCCTCCGCCCAAGCTGATATCTTGGGCTGAATGACTCTAAAAAGGACTCAAAACGTATCAGTGCCCAAGTACTTACTCAGTTAACTGCGCGGGAAGCTTGGAAAGAAAAGCGCTATCAATCATTTTCATGATGTGATCACTTGCAGTTGATGCAGCTATTTTCGTTCTCGTTTCCCATTCATTTAAGTAGCTGTGTCATTTTTAACAACGACGAACGTCAGATGCTTCTCCCAAAGTCAAGTTCATTGTTTTATCATGTTGTACAGACAATTGCTTTTGTCGGTTACCTACTTGACTTTCAAGACTTTTGCTAGATTGTATTGAGTTAATAAAAGCTATTTCTGGGTCTTTCTCTTTTCCGGTTTTCGAGGAAAGTTATAAGTGATGTAAAGCCCGAATACCCTTTGGACATTTTAACTTCAGTTATTGTTGTTGTCGTTTATTTGGACACAAATGGGAAAAGTAGCAGCAGAGCCCCAAAAATGCACATTAAAAATAAAGCGAAGTGTCTTGGTAGACATCCGTGGTGAATTTAAAATGATATTTAAAGTGTATTTAAGGTAAACAGTGAATAACCGGGTCGTTTGTCTGAGCATACATGTAAAGTTGATTTGACTATTAAGTAAAATTGAATTATTCTAAAAACAAATTTATAAAACATAAAATTATTGACTACCAGGAGAGATGCTTAAAATGGTTCAGTGATGGATGATCTTCTCCCAACAGCTTTCTGAAAAACTCCAGCTCGTCCCCCGAAGAAACGAAAAAAAAAATGAATAAAAAATAAAAGGAAAAGCTCAAGGCCGGTTGAACTTTAGATAGCACTAAAAAAAGGGATTTTCAATGAAAATATCATGCACAACACGTCGTTGAGCTTTTTTTCTTGCATTAATTTTTGATCATTTTTAACAGCTGTCAAACGTTATATAATGTAAACATCGCAATTAAGCTACTTTTAGTTTTCGGCTTCCTTGTCAATAAGCTATTAGCGCACCTCTCGAATTTCAGAGAGGAACTTAAACTCACCAGAAGGCACGACTTCAACTTTGGAGTTAAATTAAAATAAATTGTTGTAACCCAACGCTTTTGTTTCAAGATTTCGTTATAAAAAAATTTTTATCCGTTTTGGTAAAAAGAACAATATATCTAGACAAAAAAACTAAGCAAGCTGTCCTGTTAAAATGTGCAAAACGAGCTGAAACTTATGCGGTACCGGTGCAGTGCTCCACCAAATGGGCTAACGAGCTAACTGAGAGCTGGTCCCTGTATTTTGCCTAAAATACATAATGCAAGATATCAAGGATGGAATGGCGGATATTTTTAATTCGCCAGTAGTAAATTAGCGGGTTAAAGAGTGAGCCAAGCGAAAGGAAAGTATAGCATCATGATAACAACAACCTACAAAACGCGAGGCTCTACTAAGTCATCTAAAAACGAAGCGGAACAAAAAAGCACGGTTACAGACAAATATGAAAACATCAGAGCTGCTATAATGATTATCAGGGTTGTGGCTGCCTTGTTGCTTGTACAAAGTCGTTTTGCTACTTCGTCTAGATAACTGCTCACAGGGTAGGCGGCGCCTGTGGTTACGAGCTTGCAAGAAGATAAATATGTTGATATTTATAGTAACAGTAATGTATACAAGAAAAATAAAACACATTAGCAGGTCAGTGGCAGTCAGCAGCGTCAAGTACATATCTGACTCGCCAGTTGAGGAGACCAGAATGATCATCGTAGCTATCACGATTGTTGGAACAGCCCAGGCCGTTAGTACACCAGTAGTTACTATCTTTTCTGTGACGATTTCTTTGTATCTCAGAGGAAGCTTGATAAAAATATAGCTTTCTGTGCTGATTAAAACGATATGGTCAAACGATGCCATGAAGATCCAAATGCCTCCTATCACTGACACGGTATCGAACCTACAAAATGGCCCGAGATTAAGAACATGCTTAATTTCTGACGCTACGAACAAGGGTTGAACGAGCAGGCCTACCAGTAATTCAGACCACGCCAAATTTGCCAAGAGGATGTTGTAACATGTCCTTCACTGGCTATCAAAATTTTATGTGGATGGTTTCGTTTTTTTTTTGTTTTTTTTTTCACATATCACCTAGAGGAAAAAAAGGATATTTAGAAAAAGGGGTTTTAAAGTTGTTTGCTTTGCAATTCCTTGATTCCAAAAGCATAGGGTTATACTTCAAGTTTCTTTCTCTAGAAACGAAACTAGCGATTTCTCTTTTTTCTATTGTGTTTGTTCATTGTCGGATCTGATAGCACAACTTCAGTGAGACTAGACTTTACTTTCCATTGTTAGTCTTTTCTTCAAATTGGTCTGGCAAATGAATCTTCACGATTAAGTTCTCATCACGATTTTGCTTTACTTTTACTATACTATATTATATATAATATATTATTTAATTATTATTTGCTATACTTGAAGCCTCTATCACGTTTTCCCCGACGTTTTCACGGTCTTTTTGTAGTTTTTGTATGCTTGTTTTTAATAACTTGGATCTTTCCGTTTCTAAGTGCACCCTTTAAGTTTTTCAAGGTTTTATTTTTTTTGGCATTGTAAGCCTCGGTAACGAATTTCAGTCATCGGATTCAACCATCGTTAGCTCAAAATAAAGTTCTATCGAATTATTTTTAAATGTCCACTCCCAATAATTCAGATCTGTAAGAGAAATTGGAAAATATTTGATTCATCTGTTGTTGAAAATAAATCACCTGTGCCTATGGAGGTTCTTTATGGGGCAATGGCTTTTACGGCCAACAGTTAAAATTTTGGCCATTTCAATTTACGGTTTACCGTTAACCAAAAATAGCACGTTGCAGAAAGTAAAATAATTTACGGTTGATTTTTAATACAGCTAAAGGTTAATGAGTTAATTCTTACGCCTAACGGTTCAGTTTCTTGGCCATTGTGCGGCTACGGTAACCTCATCGAGACCTTAGCGTGCGAACATCGAGTCATGGATGCACGCTGGAAGTTTGGAGAGCACGAGAGAAGCGAAAGAGTTGCAGCAACGACAGCAACAGCGACAACAACAGCAGAAGCATCAACAAATGTGCACAGAATTGAAAAAAAAATAGAACGGGAAAGAGTTTGAAAACGGGTAGGCGTTTTGGGAGCCAGCATGTTTTTTTTGGTAAATACAGAGAAAACCAGCTTTCCAAATGTTTTTAAGCTTGTAGGATTATAACAGCCGCCCTAACTGAATGTAGCTCGTAAATATCTTTATTATACTATATAATTTTCAGGCTTCTCAGGAACACATTACATTAAATATCATTACATTAAAATCACAATCACCTGATTAAAAATCATGTAACTGTTAAAATAACCAGACATCGTAATAAGTTGTAAAAATCCAACTCTTTTTTCCTTTACATGTAATTCCTCGTGGACTTTCCTCGCCATATTTATGGACTTAATAATATCTTACCTCCAGGAGAAACATTATAACGCAACACTCTGAAAAATTAATGAAAGGGGTAAGTTTCTAGAGAAACCAGGGTGGTGTGTCGTTGGAGCGGGGGGGGCGGGTAAAGGTAATACAGGATAATACATGTCATTTGTTTTTATCGACTGAGTTGATAATGTAAATTGGTCACCGTTAAGAGTTTCTGGCCAAATTACTCTTAAAAAGGAGCTGTTGAAAAGAGAGGATGCACATTGACGGCTTTCATAGTTCTCCAAATTGGGTTGCCTTTATTGCCTTGCTTCAAAAGGAAATAAGGTGTAACGATGAAACTTCCCGCTTACCAAACAGTGGAAAATACTGATTTCCTTAGTTTTGGCGCTTTCAGGAAAATAGTTTGACACATGTTCAGAACAACAATGAAAGAAGAGAAATGAAATACGGATGTTCGTCTTGTCGAGAGGAGCATAAAATAAACGATTAATTTTTTTTTTCTTCGTCGTAGTTTCGTCTCTGCAGGATGATAGCATCTTGCGTAGATCAAATCATTTAAGATGTTTTTAAAGCACCGATACAAAAAAACAAACAAAAAAAAAAACCGTAGGGAGACTGCTGGTATTAATATTACCGCAGTAAAGCACTTACGAGGCCAAAATTTTGTTACAGACTCACCTACTGTTGTCCTAAAAGTAGACCGTACGTCAGCTAAAGTGATTTGTTTATAATTTGGAATTTTTAATTGAACTAATTCAAACTGTATTATGCAACTATACACGAAATTGAGAGAAGGAAACAATGCAATACACATTTTTTCGAAAGATGAGAAATTTTATCGAGGACTGAGGAAATTCGTAGAAAAAAATGGCTAATTGTCATGAAAAGTATTGGCAATCAGGCTTTTACGTGTAAACTCGCAGAAACCATTAAAAATTAGCAATATGTTTAGTAAAAGACGTAGTTTTTTAACAAGCTACGAGAATTTCCACTTGTTTACTTTGCTCTTATTAGTTTCTTTCACATGCCAGGATAATGCAATTATCAAAAGCTTCTTTCCGAAACTCGGCTTAAGCGTTTGTTTTAACAGTACTTTCCTTAACCGTCATTTTTTTGACGTTAGCATTCAGCGAGAGCTGACAATTCATAATTTCCAAACGAGATCGATATCTCAAACTTCTAGCTGATAATCTTCGGCCAATTGCTTTTGTTGAGATGAAATTTGACCTGCAACTTAATAATCTATGAATTCGTTTTCGATTTATACATATATCAAGGAACAAAGAGATTTTAAACAACGCGGAAAACAAAAATAATTATTCCCACGAGTGAGCCGGATGTACAACACACTACATAAATGGATGATTCCAGAAAAAAAAATTACAGTAATCTCATTTATAACAGCCTCATCACCACCGCAATGAGATCTACGTCTTCGTTGGCACTTTTCTTAATCGTTTCTTTGCTGTTTAGCGCCTATGGCCTGCCCCTTGAAAACGAGAGCGACCAATTGCTAAAGGATTCTAGTGATCGAGTACAAAGAGCTATAGCTGAAAGGGAATCCATTTTCGAAGGTGAGGAATAAGTTATTAGAAACTGCGCTGACGATCAAAAGAAATGTTCCTTTTTTATGTTAACAATAAGAACTGAAAAACAAGAAACATATTACGACTTGCATGTTCATGAATTTATCCTGTTTGGCTTTTAAAAAAAATGAAAAAAGTGTCTTCTTTCTTTTATAAATACCATTTACAATTTCCATAGTCTTTGGCAGTTCTTCTGTAAAGTTGCCATTCCTTTGTCAGGGCAGATGCATGGGGTAGTTTTTTTTTTTTTGAGACGAGTTTTAACGAACCAAATGAATGAAGCCATGTAGGTTTAGAAGTTTCTAAGTTCCTGGTATTGATATAATGAAGATAGAAAGCGGATCGAGTATCGTCGAAATTGAGCTCAATTCAAGTTAGTCTTATAACGCAGAGAATTAAAAGTATACCTCACTTTCTTTGCTTTCGCTGTTCCTACTTTTGAGTTTATTTTGCATGGTCAAAACAGGATATAAATCGAGTAAAGTTTTAGGCACTGAGCAAAAGACCAATATATATCTTAAAACCTTAATATATGTACGATTACTGTATTTGTCGAGAATTTGTGTTCCTGATGTATTAGCTGGAAAAATGTATAAAATCATTTAATGGACTTTCGAGAAGGTTCAGTCTAATCGAAGTCTTCACAATAATTCCAATAGGTCCTTTTCAAGATTGTTATCGATAGCTTATTGTTGACTTGAGGCTTAATTTCTTCGGCTCGTCACTAAAGAATTCGCTCATTCACGCCAATTTTATTCAATCGGTAAGGTAAAACTGATTTTACATGTCACGAATTTCTATCAAAGATCCAGTTGTAAAACCAATCAAAGATCGTTCGCTTGTTCCACGGATCCCTCCATGTGCTAGATATGGTTGTGGTAAGCGAACTGTGCACATTGGTAGAGATACGGAACCGTACAGTTTCTTGGAAACCAAGATTCGTCAATTGCAGCGTAGAAGGGAAGGTGGCATGATCCCGCCGTGCGCACGATATGGCTGTGGAAAGCGGAAATAGAACTTCTAAATGATATTAACCCAGGATATTATCTCAAAAGGTTTGTCTGTTACATTTATTTATCACTCTGACAATAATTGAGAATAATTGCTAAAAGCTCTACTGTAAAGAGCACTCAGCCGAGTACAGGGTAAGTATTTCTAGTTAACATAATCATATTCATACATCAACTGTTGAAACTCAATGGAAAAACTATCTTCACAAGGCTACCTCGCGCTTTACAAAGACGGAGGCTATCTTAGGAGGAAAATGCTGACAAATCAATATAGCTGTTATTAGAAGAAATATTTCACTTTCAACTGCGTTTTGCTTCCTTAGGCCAAAAATCCAAGAAAAACAAATACAGAAAATAACTAATTATTCACTCTCTAAAATAAATTTAGTGTCCAAAAGTGACATTACGCCGCTCATCGGTATCCGGCCACACAAGTTACTCAGCAGAGTGTGCTTACATGCAAATCTTCCGTAATGCTGTAACTCAATCGACATTTTCATTAGGGACCAGTCATTTTTTGTTGCCGCGAGAGATGATTTTGGTGAGATCGCATGCTCTTCAGGGGAAACAGATGGAGGTGTCATTCGTAACTAACAGAGTATAAAGAGGGAACTATAGAAAATTGACTGCCAATTAACTGTTAATAAGAGGGGGAGGGAGATCACCAGAATATTACAGAGCCCTATGGGGGATCAGGTAGATATCATCGTGTCACAAAATAAAATCCTCCGTCTCCTAGGGCGATATATAATGGTCGGTCACTCAAAAGAGCGTGCCAGAAAACTGGAATAACAAGGCCTTAACTTATAAATTTCCTCTTCTTTAAATGTAATTATTTTCTGTCTGTTTGCTGGTTATACGTATATTTTACCGATTGATCTCTAACCGTTTAAGCGCTCTTGAATTCCGCACTATTCTTTCTTGTAACCAATAAGCAACGAACAAGAAAATATTTCCAAGTTCAAATTTTTGGAGTGCTTCGAATTCTGAACTAAAAGATGCCTTTTCGCTATTTTTAGGGGAGACGAATCCAAAGTCGGCGAGCTGATAGGACTTTGCGGTCTCTAGGATATTGAACGTTTAAAATTCTAAGAAGAAATAGCGAAATACTATGTCAATTCATTAAAGTTAATAAAAATTGTATCTGATTGGTTTGTTTTGGTTTTGTTTTTGCAAGAGCACCATAACTAAACTGTTTGTCCTCAAGCCAGGGTTTATCTTCAGTAAATACATGTCTTGAAATAGTTCTGTACATGAATTTAAGATAAACTTCATCTTCTGGGTTAACTTCGTTCACCAATGTACAAATCCTAATGTATAACGCTGACTCTCCCTCTCTAATCACTGCTACAAGGCTTGTGCTCTTGACTGTACCAACTCAGTCATTATTGCGATTCAAAACTTGAGCCAACGACAACCCTATCTGTCTTCTTAAGGAAATTGTGTGTCTTTTTTGTGCACATTCTCACCTTTTTCTCCACAAAGAGAAATGGCCTTTGGTCAATAGATCAGATAAGGTATGAAAGCGGCCTTCGCAACGATGAACACTACTTGAACGATAGTGTAAATAAGGCTTGAGAAAACTTCAGGCTTGTACGGGAATTGAACCCGTAATCTCTGTTTCAGTTTCAAGGCGTTCACACCCCTTGTTCGATTGATTTGCGTACATGTACTTCTCGTAGCCGATAGCAGTACGCCGATTCAGGTTGCCTGACTTAATCCTCAGTTGTTGCGCAAGTTTCGGAGAAGGTAGTCTGTATTGAGCTGACAACCGATCGAGCGGATACCGCTTATTGAACAAACACCTGTCAAACATCTGTCAAACTCCTGTACTCCTTTATTAATTGCATGTTTCTACGACACCCATAATAAGCGGACACTTTTAAAAGGTTACGGTAGCGAAACGAATAAACTTTGTCTCTAGCCAAGTATGCAATCAAGCGAACCTGATCATAGAGAGTGGTCAACGAGGTAAGTAGTTAACGCTGTAAAAAACCTAAACGTTTAGCCCAGTTTTTGTCGGCATTTCGCAGTAAACCTACATTAAACGAATAATAGAAATAATCGGTAATTTAGTGTTAACAACTGAGTTGAAAACGTAAATTGGCCACTGTAAAAAGTTTCAAGGCTTACGATTCGAGCGTTAGCCCTTCGTCATTCGCTCTGACGAAGGGCTTTAGCTCGAAATGTCAGCCTTTAAACTCTTTATGGTGGCCAATTTACGTTTTCAACTTAGTTGTTAACACTAAATTACCTGCTACACTCTCCCACCGACGCAGCACCAGAGTTTCTTTAGAAACTTACCCGGTTCATTCACTAGAAATAATACCCTCTTTAGAAAATTTATCTACTATGGCCCTTTTTTATCGATCCAATATGAACCAACATAGTGACTCCGATTTGGAATTCCAAATGGATTTGGCAGTCAATCGCTTCAGACTAAGAAGTGGTTAAATGCAAAAGCTTTATGCGGATAGCACCTGTCTTTTGCTATAATCTCTCAGATCATACACATTTTTGTTTGAACACACAGAAATTTTTGAGTAACAATGATCCAGGAATTCGTAGAATTCACGCGGGTTTTCAAGCACATTTTTTCAAGCAAATATTGTAAAAAGTAAATTGTACACTCTCGCTAACGCTAAACTCCTTGATGTATTTTCAGTCGAGTAGACGCTCTGATTTACTTGTACCGATAAAAACACGATAAAAGATATTAAAATAAGCCTTGATGATACAAAAAAATTTTTATTAAAAGTCATTCTTACGTTCCCTTATTGTGCCAAATCGTGATGGGATCAGGCATGTCTCAAATTTCCGACGTACGTGACTAACGAGGGAGTGAACCGTTTTCTATGAGCTTTCGTTTTCTGTTGTTGTTGTTTTTTTATCTTTTGAAAACATTGCATTTATATTTTGAATTTGCCATCAACCACCAGACGCCCTTTCCCATGTAAGTCCGAAGGTTGTCTTAAAAGAGCAAAGTGTACTCTTCGCTGTCTTCCAAATAAAGAAATAAACGAGCTGATATCTCTATATCATACAGACACTTTCTTTTGTAATTCGGTTCGAAAGGTTTTATAGAGTCATCACTTTTGCCGAGTTTGACGACTTCTTTTTCACATATTTTAACCCATAGACTACAAAATAATTATTGAAAATAAATCATGGACTAAAAATTACATCCGATTAAATTCGTACTGTTAAGATTTTGGTTTTTTAAATAAGTCTAAAGACTTACCCAAAGGAAATTGACGCTAAATGGCTCTTCGTCTTCTGTGTACTCCGGAAATTTACCTTTATCGAGCTGAAATACAATATTTTTTAATTGGGTCTCGGATTTTCCTTCCCTTTTTCTCATTACCGAAAAACTTAGTGGTGTTGAACATACATGAATGTCTAAAATCAAATTTACAAAACATTCTGAAGAGCAAAACTCTTTTTAAAGAAAATAGTTTGTCTGATAATTTAAAATATGTCTACCACAAGATGCAAATATCAATTTTTCTCTGTCTTTTCGAGACGCAGGGACAATACAATCAATAGACATTTCCTTTGCATTTTAACTTTGATCAGCAAATGCGGGAGCTTCGATTCTTGGCATGAAAGAAACGTCTGTTTCAGCCGTCTGAAGATTCTCTCCATTAAAACCGTATTATGATCGATGTCAGTCAGTAATCTGGTAATTCCCGCCTCCCCTTCGGCAACGTTATTTGCAGCTGCATGGTGCTTTCGCACCAAGCTACCCATTGGCTCGGTTATCATCATTTTCCATGAGTAAACCACCAGAAAATGGGCGGTACATGTATAATTTATGAATGAAGTAGGTTTACTATTGCCCTCCCACCGATTTGATAGCATTAGATAGATAAAAAACCGGGAACCACTTTTAACGTCATGCTGTGGTTAAAGTAGAAGTCTTGGTTTATTTCTTAGCAATTTGCGGTTTCAAAAATGTCCCAAACAGACTTCTCAGAATTTTGCAGCAGATAAATTAACGTAAAAAAAAACCTTCCTAGAAAAAAAATTTATTAATTCCACTTTTAATTAGTTAAAGGCTCACTGCAATGATACAATCTTGAACAAATATCAAAAAGGCGTTTTAAAAATGATACATACATTTACGTCAGCGACACATATTTTACGGATACTTCATCAGATAGTTTGGACCAAAAGTAGCAAAAACATAGAAATAAATGATACCTGAGGTTCTCTTGGTGGGGTAGTTTTCATAAGCGCTGAAATGGTCTCACAGCAGCATTACTTAAAACTGTTCTGCATGAGATTTTTAATGCAAAAAATAATGGTGCAGAAACTGTTTGCTATCAATTTGTTCCTGTTTACCAAAGAATTAAGGCTAAAATTACTCTTTGTAGTAAAATTTTCACCGAATGACTTAAGCTTAAAAGAAACTCAAATAAGAAAATAAGTCGCGTTTTCGATGAATAACTCAAAGCTCTTCCTTCGTCATTATTAGAATCAGAAGACGGTCCTTGCTGCCACGCGTCACTGTCTCTTACAGAACATTAATTGTCCTCCTTCTTCGATGCCGGCCATTCCCTGACACTCCCATCCCGGCATCGATCTGAGTACACAATACTGCCTCACCATGTTCACTTAATGTTTGTTCTAAAGCTTTCAGTACCATCTTGGTTTCGTGTGTCAATCCAAACATCTCAGGGAATAAGGTGTGGCCATTAAACGAGAACTGAGAAATCTTTAAACGTTTGAACGTGTCCTTTAGTAGCATGTCGTAATGATGTGGGATATTGATCAAATGAAGCCTTTTAGTGCTACTGTGGTTCTTTCTTTCTTTATTCACTCCGAGCTTTCGCCGCCGTGAGAAATCTTTCGTAGAAACCAAATGGCTATAGCAAATACTTTATAAGAAGGTTCAATTCCCCAATGTCAATCTATACGTTTATTGCCCTTGTTTGGAATCTCAGAGATTATCTCTGCGAACTTCAATGAGGGACATATATATATATATATATATATATATATATGGATATGGATATAAGAAAAAACCGCAGCCTACACATATCATTTTCATCAAGAAATTTGACTTTAGTATACAATTTACTTTTTGCAATATTTGCTTGAAAAATGTGCCTGAAAATCCATGTAAATTCTCCTTTTCAAACTAATACTAAAGTTCCTGGGTCATTGTAACTGTGTTCAAACAAAAGTTTTTTTATGATCTGAGAGATTACAGCAATAAACAGATGCTATCCTCAGTAAAGTTTTGCAATTTAACCTCTTCTTCGTTAAAAGCGGTTGATGTCCAAGCTTCATTAGTTGGGACTGGCCGGGTATTCCGCTAAAAATTGCAATTCCAAATCTGAGCCCTACAGTCTGCCTTAAATGCAAGATATCAACGATGGAATGGCTGAGATTTCTAATTCTAATAACAATGACCCAGGAATTCTAGTATTCATTAGAAACGTAGAATCCACATGGGTTTTCAAGCACATTTTGTAAAAAGTAAATTGTACACTCTCGCTAACGCTAAACTCCTCGATGTATTTTCCTTTGTTGTGCCAAATCGTAACGGGATCAGGAATATCTCAAATTTTCGGCGTAGGTGACTAACGAGAGAGTGAACCGTTTTCTTTGAGCTTTCATTTTTTTTTTTTTTTTTTTTTAATCTTCTTGAAGACATTGCATTTAAATTTCGAATTTGTCATCAACTACCACCCCTTTCCCTTCTAAGTCCGAAGGTTATCTTAGAAGAGTAAGGTGCACTTTAAAAACTCCTCAAAGCATTTGCATTTAGCACCATGGTCCAAATATAGAAATAAACGAGCTGATATCTCTATATCATACAGAAACTTTCCTTTGTAATTTGGTTCGAAAGGTTTACATAGAGTCAACACTTTTTCCGAGTTTGACGACTTCTTTTTCATATATTTTACCCAAACACTACAAGATAATTTTGCACATAAATCATGGACTAAAAATTATTTTCGATTAATTTCATAGTGCTAAGATTTTGGTTTTTTAAATAAATCTTAAGACTTACTCAGAGGAAATTGATGCTATGTGGCTCTTCTTCTTCTGTTTACTCCGGTGTCCGGAAATTTACCTTTATGGAGCCGAAATATAACATTTTCTAATTGGGTCTCGGATTTTTCTTCCCTTTTTCACATTACCGAAAAACTTAATGGCGCTGGACATACATGAATGTCTAAAACCAAAATTTAAAAAACATTCCGAAGAGCAAAAATCTTTTTAAACGAAGTTATTTTGTCTGATAAATTAAAATATGTCTACCACAAGGTGAAAATGTTCATTTTGCTTTTTCTTTTCGAGATGCAGGGACAATATAATCAATAGACATTTCCTTTGCATTGCAACTTTGATCCGCAAATGTAGGAGCTTTCATTCTTAGCATTAAGGAAACGTCTGTTTCAGTCGTCTGAAGATTCTCTTAATTAAAACCATGTTATGATCGATGTTAGTCAGCAATCTGGAAACTAATTCGTTTTAAACCGAGCTGGTTGCTGAAATTGAAACAGAACCCCTGAATAACCCCTTAAAACAGTTGTTTCGTGATTTGTTATTTTGTTTGTTTGTTTAGTTTTTTTTTTTCACTATTCTCACTCATAAATATGCCGCAGAATTCAGAAGCGTGTGATATACAAAACTCTTTTCGTATGAAGCTAGTTATATAATATTATGCTAAGTGCAATATTTGGTAATTTTATAATCCCGCTGCGTAGATTTTGAGAAAGTTCTAACGTATATCCAACCCTTCCGCCTCCTCTTCGGCAACGTTATTTGCGGTTGGAGCTTTTACAACAATTTAACCCCTAACCACATCAAACAATGGACTGCATAAGTAATGATAAAGTTGGTTTACCAGTGCCCTCCCGGCAATTTGATAGCTTCGATAAAACCTTAAACCTTTTTTAACGTCGTGCTGTATTTAAAGTAGATTTTCTAGTTTTATCAGAGTGAGCCAAACAGACCTCTCAAGATTTTGCAATAGATGGACTTGCGAAAAATAAAAAAACCTTTCTAAAAAAATGACTTTTACTTCCGCTTTTTATTAGTTCAAGACTCATTGCAATGATACAATTTTGGACAAATATCAAAAAGGCGTTTTAAAAATGATACATACATGTACCTATGCGGCAATAAAAAATTATATAAAAAAATTAACCGTAAATTAGTTTTCTTTCTACAACGTGCCATTTTTGGTTAACAGTTAACCGTAAATTATCATGGCCAAGATTTTAACTGTTGGCCGTAAAAGCCACTACCCCATTAAGAACCTCCATAGGCACAGGTGATTTATTTTTTATTAAGAACAGATAAATCAAAAATTTTCAAAAAGACCTTGAAAACATCGGGGGAAACGTGATAGAGGTCTCAAGTATAGCAAATATAGTATAGTGTAGTAAAAGCAAAATAAAATCGTGATGAGAACTTAATCGAGAAGATTCATTTGCCAAACCTTTTAGGAAAAACTAACGATGGAAAATATAGTCTAGTCTCGCTGAAATTTTGCTATCAGATCCGACGATGAACAAACACAATAAAGAAAAAAGAGCAATCGCTAATTTCGTTTCTGGTGAAAGAAACTTGGAGTATAATCCTATGCTTTTGGAATCATGGAATTGGAATTTTTTTCCCTCTGAGTGATGTATGAAACTAACCGAAACCATCCACATAAAATTTTCATGGTCATGGTAAAAAGGGATAATTCAAAAAGAATACAATATATGGAACATAATAAGCATTGTTAAGACAGCTGCTGTGATTTGAACGACACCTAGAACGTATTTTAGCCGCCCACTAATATTCTAGTCACTTTTGGGCATAGCAAGGTATAAGTGGCCATCGTTCGATCTCGAATGTTATATACTATCTTCGGAAAATGCTGAACGGGTTTTCAAATTCGAACATCAGGCCATCAGAGGTTTGTCATCACCTTAGCTACGCGGCCTGGCAGGGACGATACCTCACAAACAATGTTTACGACAATCTGGTCGCTGTTGCCTGTATCAATTTTGTCTCGGCGATCACCGTCTCCTTATCCAACGCGCTAATCGTCGCAGTCATAGCGTTTAAACCGCAGTTAAGAACATGTTACAACATCCTCTTGGCAAATTTGGCGTGGTCTGATTTACTGGTCGGCCTGCTCGTTCAACCCTTGTTCGTGACGTCAGAAATTAGGCATGTTCTTAATCTCGGTCCATTTTGTAAGTTCGATACCATATCAAGGATAGGAGGCATTTGGATCTTCATGGCATCATTTGGCCAAATCGTTTTAATCAGCATGGAACGCTATATTTTTATCAAGCTTCCTCTGAGATACGAAGAAATCGTCACAAAAAGGAGAGTAACTGCAGGTGTAATAACGGCCTGGGCTGTTCCAACAGTCCTAGTAACTACAATGATCACCCTGGTCTCCACAACTGGCGAGTCAGATATGTACTCGACGCTGCTGACTGCCTCTGACCTGCTACTGAGTTTTATCTTTCTTGTATACATTACTGTTATTATATGTGTCAACATATCTATCTTCTTGCAAGCTCGAAACCACAGGCGCCGCCTACGCTGTGAGCAGTTACCCGACGAAGAAGCCCAACGACTTTGTAGGAGCAACAAGGCAGCCAAAACCCTGAGAATCATTTTAGCAGCTCTGATGTTTTCATATCTGCCTGTAACCGTGTTTTTTTGTTCCGCTTCGTTTTTAGATGACTTAGCAGAGCCTCGCGTTTTGTACGTTGTTTCATCATGGTGCTTCACTTTCCTTTCGCTAGGCTCACTATTCAACCCGCTGATTTACTGCTGGCGAATTAGAAATCTCCGCCACTCCATCCTTGATATCTTGCATTTAAGGCAGAATGCCGGGCTCTGATTTGGAATTTCACATGAAGCTTGGACGTCAACCGATTTAAACTAAGAAGTGGTTAAATGCTAAAACTCTATTGAGGTTGGCACCTGTCTATTACTATAATCTCTAAGATCATACACATTTTTGTTTGAACACAGAAATGTTTTGAGTAACAATGACCTAGGAATTCTAATATTCATTAAAAACGTTGGATTTACACGGGTTTTCAAGCACATTTTTCAACCAAATATTATAAAAAGTAAATTGCACACTCTCGTTAACTCTAAATTCCTGGATGCATTTTCAGACGAGTAGTCGCTCTGATTTACTTGTATCGATAAAAACCCGATGAAATATATTAAAATAAGCCTTGATTATATAAAAACATGTTTATTTAAATTCATTCTTGTTCCCTTATTGTGCCAAATCGTAACGGGATCAGGCATGTCTCAAAATTTCGGCGTACGTGACCAACGAGGGAGTGAACCGTTTTCATTGAGCTTTCGCTGATTTTTATTGTTTGTTCGCTTGTTTGTTTGTTTTTTAATCTTCTTGAAGACATTGCATTAAAATTTTGAATTTGCCATCAACCACCAGCCCTTTCCCTTTGAAGTTCGATGGTTATCTTAGAAGAGCAAAGTGTACTTTCAAACTCCTCAGAGCCTTGGCACTTAGCACCATGTTCCAAATAAAGAAATAAACGAGCTGATTTCTCTATTTCATACAGACACTTCTCTTTATAATTCGGTTCGAAAGGTTTATAGAGTCAACACTTTTTCCGATTTGACGACTACTTTTTCATATATTTTAACACATAGACTACAAATAACTATTGAAAATAAATCATGGACTAAAAGTTATATCCGATTAAATTCGTAGTGCTTAGCTTTTGTTTTTTAAATAAGTCTAAGGACTTACTCTGAGGAAATTGACGTTAAATGGCTCTTCGTCTTCTGTGTACTCCGGAGTCAGGAAATTTACCTTCATGGAGCCTAAATATAACATTTTTAATTGGATCTCGGATTTTCCTTCGTTTTTCTTAATTACCAAAAAACTTAATGGCGCTGGACGTACGTGTCTAGAACCAAAATTTATAAAACATTCCGAATAGTTTAACTCTTTTTGAACGAAAATATTTGTTCTTATAATTTAAAATGTATCTAGCACAAGATCCAAATGTCCATTTTGCTTTTTATTTTCGAGATGCAGGAACAATACAATCAATAGACGTTTCCTTTGCATTTTAATTGTGATCGAAATCTGGCAAATGTAGGAGCTTTGATTCTTGGCATTGAAGAAACGTCTGATTCAACCGAGCAAAACTCTTTTCAAACGAAATTATTTTGTCTGATGAATTAAAATATGTCTACCACAAGGTGAAAATGTCCATTGTGCTTTTTCTTTTCGAGATGCAGGGACAATATAATCAATAGACATTTCCTTTGCATTGTATCTTTGATCAGTAAATGTAGGAGCTTTCATTCTTAGCATTAAAGAAATATCTGTTTCAGTCGTCTGAAGATTTTCTCAATTAAATCTGTGTTATAGTCGATGTTAGTCATTAATCTGGAAATAAATTCATTTGATACCGGGCTGGTTGCTGAAATTGAAAAAGAACCCCTAAATAACCCCTTAAAACGGTAGTTTCGTGATTTGCCTTTTTGTTTGTTTGTTTGTTGTTCTTTTTGCTACTATGCTCACTCCTAAATACGCTGCAGAATTCAGAAGAGCGATAAATACGTAACCCTTTTCGTATGAAGCTAGTTACATAATATAATGCTAAGGTTTCCACCTGCAATATTTCCGGATTTTATGATCCCGCTGCGTAGATTTTGGGAAAGTTCTAATGCATTTCCGACCACCCGTTTCACCTTCGGCGACGTTATTTGCAGCTGCATGGCGCTTTCGCACCAAGCTGGCCATTGCCTCGGCTATAATCTTTTCCCATATGTTAACCACCAGATAATAGGCGGCGTAAATACTGAATGAAGTTGGTTTACCACTGCCCTCATAGCAATTTGGTAGCCTTAAAAACCTGGAACTTCTTTTAACGTCATGTTGTAATCAAAGTAGAATTCTAGGTTTATTTCTGAGCAATTTAAGATTTCAAAAATGTGCCAAACAGACCTCTCAAGATTTTGCAGCAGAGAAATTTACGTAAATAAAAAACCCTCTGAAAACTGCGTTTTGCTTCCGCTTTTTTATTATTTCAAGGATCACGTGGTTTTCAAGGGGTATGAATGGGGATCATTCGTCGCTAACAGATTATAAAGGATCAAGGACTAAAGAGAGTTTAGGTAACATTGCATAGCATTCTATTGACTAGAGAACCTTAGGGGCGGTTCAGGTGAATTTTCAATGTGATACAGCCAAATCCTCCGATTGACCTCCCCAACCTCCCCTACCCAGGCTATGAATAATGTTGGTCCCTTATCGATCTAAGTACACAATACTGCCTCACCATGTTCACTTTGTGTTTGTTCTATCGCCTTCAGTACCATCTCGGTCTCGTTTGTCGATCAAAACATCGCATGATAGTGATCTTCGCAGTTATGAACATTACTTATGCCGTAGTGGAAATAAGACTTGGAAAATATCCGCAGCTCACATATATGATTTTCATATATTCGCAGTCATCCCTTCAAGGGTTTGTTAAGAACTACCATTTCAAATAGCTCCCAGTTGGTTGGTTAACTCAGTTGGTAGTAATGTTACGTAATTATGTCGAGTAATTTGTTAGGTTTTGTCGACTTTAAAGAAGCAGCGTCGTCGTTTTTTTTTTTGCCTGTAAAGCTATGCACCGTTAAGGTAAATTTTCTTCTTTACGGTGAGTTTATTTGCGAGTTTTCGTATGTATTTTTCTAATCTTATTTAGTAACGTAGACAAGTGGATGTTTTAAGATAAATGATGAACACAATTACGCGTGACTTCAGTTACAGGTTCAAATCCCGTCTTTTTTGTTGTTGTTGTTGTTGTTGCTTTTGTTTTGTTTTGTTTTGTTTTGTTTTTTTTCTTGCCTTACTTTCACAACTGCCTAAGTAGTGTTCATTAGTGCGAAGATCGCTTTCATATTCATTTCTAAACCCACAGTTCACATACATGATTTTCATGTATTCACAATCATTTATTCATCACTTCACGGGTTTATTACACACCAACATAATGACCAACTCCCAGTTAGCTTGTTAGCTCAGTTGGTAGAGCACTGTACCGATGTCGCGGAGTTTATATGTTCAAATCCCATACAGAAAATGGCTTGAACTCGAGGCAGCATTTGATCCTGTAGTCTGATCGGTTGGCTGGTTTTTTTTTTATTTGATTTCAAATTACCATTACTATGGTTATGTCATGCGCCAATTTCCTAGAGATGAGTCGCGTTGCTTTTTGATCTTCGGCCTGTAAGTCGAGCTTTCTTTCCTAAAGTAACCACAACTGAAATTTTCAATACAACAGAGGAATCGAGGCAGGTGTGTTGCCACAACCTCCACTCTATCGCAGGTTGAACAGTCCACCAGGTTGAGTGGGGAGGGGTTTTACTTTCGGTAGCAGTGGTCAACTCATAGCAGCTTGGTTAGGCCGGAAACAGAAGGTGAGTGTGAATCGCTCTAGGTGAGCTTTCTTCGTCACTCACAAAATAAGTGGTAAAAACCATGTGTCCCACAACTGATGCCACCATGTACCAATATGCTATTCTATTGAGTTAGTTAGAAAGGAACAAGAAAAACTTCTAGTTCATGCTTTTGTTAATTCAAAGCTGGACTACTGCAACTCCCTAGCGTATGGCTTGCCTAAATATCTCCTACAAAAGCTTCAGTATGTTCAAAACGCCGCCCGCGCCTTATTACTGGTATACGGAAACACGACCACATAACCCCTATCCTGATGGATCTGCACTGGCTCCCTGTTAATCAACGCATTCAATTCAAGATTCTTCTTTTGACGTTTAAATCTCTAAACGGCCTTGCCCCTGTCTACATTGATGAAATGATCCAACGTTATGTACCAAATAGAAAGCTTCGTTCGTCTTCTGCATTTCTTTTAAAACAAAACAAATGGAACCTTAAGTCTTATGGTTTTAGAACTTTTACAGTAGCTGTTCCCTTTTTATGGAACTCCTTACCTTTAGAAGTCAAGTCTTCGCCCAGTTTGAATATTTTTAAATCTAAACTGAAAACACACCTTTTTAAATGCGCTTTTAATCTAAATTAGATAACTTAATCTTTTATTTTTATATTTCTAAGTCATACTGTAATACAATGGATGTAAAGCGCTTAGAACGCATGCGGATAAGCGCTATATAAGTGTTAAATGTTAAATGTTAAATGTTAAAAAAAGAGAACAGAAACAAGTCACACACTCACACTGAGATCCGTTTTGAAAGCTTGCGAAGCCTTTGAACAGGAGTGAGGCTAAGGGTGACCTTGTTGTGATACAAACTTTGCTGCTCTTCAAATGAAAATAGCTTTGTTATCATGCTAACGAGATACTGGTCTCTACCACAACATGGTCAACTTCAGTCTCACTCTAAGTCAAAGGCTTGGCAACCAAGTACACAATTGTAAAATGTCCTATTAAAAATATGTGATATAAAATTTGCGTATTGTTTGAGCCTCAATTAATCGAGATCGGAATTCCATTTTATCAGTCGACATTTTTTTTTTCACGTCAAATTCCGCTTTTAGTTCAGTTGAGCGGTGGTAGATTCAGTTATTTATCACCTCACGCTGATTAAAAAACAGAGAGGCATTGACTGTATTTAAACCGCGTTGAGTTTAGCGATATAGTCCTTAGCCATGACTTAATATTTTGTTTAAGTACTCCCTCAGGTGCCAGTTAGCCGGTTTTCTGATGTAAAGTACTTGTGTGGTTACTCAGAGAAAATACCCAAAATTGCGTGGGAACGGTGAAACAGTCATGTAAAATAAAAGCGAGCATCTTAAATTACCATCTTAAAATAGCT